GCGGCGCTCGAGTACAAAGGGTTAACATAATAATATAACCGTATCTTCTCAGAATGAATGAATATCTTGTTTTACAGATACGGGAAGGACTACGAGGAGGAGAGTAAGAACGTGTTCTTCGAATGGGACCCGAACAACTACAAGAACGAAGCCCTGAAAGCAGAAGTGTACGAACCTCGGACTGACAATTATCGGAGCAGCTCGCATAAAAGGATGCTGCATCCCGAAAGCGTGTCTGTCTACCCGGTCTCACAGCTTTATACACCGGAGAGTCAGAAAATAGCACCGGTCGCATTGAAACCAGGCGCCAGGGCGCCGGTCCTTCAATACGCCCACCCGGAACTGGGCGTTCAGCCAGCGAAGATCCTTAAAAACGAGAAGAGGCGCCCGGACAATTTCCCGGAGAACCAATACTCGTTCACGGAACAGAGACAGAAGAAAAAATACGTGTTGAACGATAAGAATATCGTCGACACTTACACCACCAAGGATTATTACCCTAACCATCATTTCTATGGATTGAAGAGACCGAGCGACGCTCCGTTTTGGGTGAAAATCTCTGAGAACTTGAAGAATCAATTTTCCAACAGCGTGGAGAAGGTGTCGCAGTTCACCAGGCCGGTGATCGATCCTTTGGTCGAAGCCACGCATAAGATTTCTCAGAATTTAGGACTGTCTAATGGGAAGGAGGCTCAGGACAAGATGGGCACCGTTGCTACCGGTGGGAGTATTCTGATCCCGGCGTTGGGACTTATGGCTTCTGGTGCTGCGCTCGGCATCGGAGCGGTCGCCGTTGGCAGATATTTAGACGTCGACGTTCTTAAAAGATCGGACGATGGATCGGGAACCGAAGTCGAGTACCAAAGAGCTTTGAACTCTGACCCTTTATTGACCGAGAATGGTGACTCATTGACACGAGGTTACGATGGGACTGTATATTTCATGGAGAAGAATAAGGACGATGCGACGAGTCAGGATGGATTAGTGATCGTAGAGGGAAATCAGAAAACGGGGGAGGTGGAATTAGACACGAAATCAGGCTTTGGGGAAACGACGTCGAGAAGGAAACGGAGTATCGATTATTTAGACATTTTCCAAGCCGAAGGTAATTTAAAGAATCTAATCAGAGACAAACGTTTCCAAAGGAAAGGAGCTGACTCTATCAGCGAAATTGTAGAAATTGATCTTCGCGAAGGTAACATCGACGTCACAGAATTTCTTATTCCAAGAAAATCAGACGACTCTTTAAAGAACGACAAGAGCTCCGATATTCTAGTCGTCCAAGACGACCGGGAAACTGTGGAAAATTCTATGAACGGAAGAGACGAGAAACGGAAGAAGAGGAGCATTGAAAGCGATCAGGAGTTGCAAGATACTCTTCAGAATCTGGAGAACGCCGAGGTGGCCGAAGTGGCTCATATCGACGGCGATTGGACCAATACACCCTGTGCCAAAAGGTTATTCTGCGACGTGATGATTCAAAGGGGTGCAGACGCCGTTGTCCTAATGGAAAAGAAAATGGCAGCTCTTCTTGGCCTGTAAGTATCTGCGAAATAAAATATTTCCGATATCAATTTCGAAAATGATATCAAAAATTTTGAAAACAATTATCTGCATTTTTGCACGTCGATGTTTCGAATAAATGCAACTTCGCTGACGGCAATTACGCTCGAGGAATCACTTTCTTTCGAGGGGAGAATGTGATCTCAGCATGAACGCTTTTTCCTTCGTTTAAACTAAATTAAATATTTCTAAAATCCATAAGAACTACAGATACCAATTAAATAACGAACCGCGTGAATCTGAACATTAGAAATCGTTGAGATCGAGTCATTATCACCTTTCCTTTTATCGCCGGACTTTTCCCGAAACACGCACACGTGGTACACGCGGACAGACGTGTATGCACGGAGTGAAACTGTGCTAAGAGGTAAAAGTCGAATCAGTCAGTAGGACGTTCGCCGGCGAAAGCTGGGAAGAAAGTTATCTGTTACTCGTTATGGTTCCGTTCGGCCGACGAAAGGTTCTTTGATTTTCTCGTCTCGTCTTCGCTTCGGTCGGCTTTCGACGGGAATCGGGGAGAATCCACGCTAGCTGCAATTAGAATATTATTAGAAACTCTTCTATTTCTATTTTTAGAATCCAACCGGGAGCAGCTGTCCAAGTGTCTAGCCATTTCCAGCAGGTGATGGACGCGGTACGAAGGCACGATTGTTCGAGCTTTCTGTGCCCTCAGGCGAGGCCCGGGAACGTTTTCTTCTAGGCATGCGCTCGTTCCTCGGACGAAAGCGGAACTGATAAATCGTCGATTTCACGATCGGTGAAAGCATTCGCCAGGATCGAAATTACTGAATGGACCTATCGTCCGGCCAGAACTGTACATATTTGCCAATTTATTTAATACATCCGTTCTTGTAATTTAAGGTGTTAGAGTTAGTTTCGGAAACTGTGAATGAGACTCAACCTCGATCGTTTCGATAAAATTAAGTACGAGCGTTTTTTTACGGAAATTTTCTTACGTACACGAATTGTACATCACGTAACTTTTACCTTGTGAATTGTAAATAACTGGTCTATCGTTGTACCGTGTGTAAACGAATTTTCTATCGTTTTTTTACACAATTTATTATTAACGAATAAACTAATTTATATACTAATAAAGTTGCACGTTATTCTCACCCGAGCCGACGACGTCCGGCACGTAAAACAGTAGAAAACGAAATGCGGTACGAGTACAGTCACGCAAAATGAACACGATAAATTATTCACCGAACGGTACAAAGGCGTTCTCAATAAGCAATCGACTTCGAGTCAAGCATCGAAGTAGACGAAAAGAAAAAATTCCCCGTAACGAACAAACTACACCCACCGACGGTGTTCTTCTCCGACGTTCCCCGCGGCTTCTGACTTTCTAGGGACAAGACGAGCATGCGTCATCATCGCGGATGAGCAGAGAAAAATTCGTATCAGTCTTTCGTCGTTCAGTCAACATGGACACCGACAGAGGTGAAATATACAGGGTGTGACACGAAAATAACGTAGAAAATAGGAGTAACATTTT